CCTTCCTTCCTTCCTTCCTTCCTTCTTTTCCATTCTGAATTTCCTCTCCAGAAGCCAAGTGGTAACTTATGTAACTGGAAGCACTTAATGTAGTACCTTTTTAACTGTTTTTTAAAATAGGATGTTGAAAAGTGGGTATCTTCAAGGAAAGGAGCCAGAAGAACCCAATTGAGAAAGGAGTTGGAGCAGAGCGAAGAGCAAGGGCTTCCGTCAGCCTGTTGTCCCACTCCGCTCCTCTTGGGGACGAGCCGATGGCCCCAACATGGCTTGTGCACTAGAGAGTGTGAATGAGTGAATACACTCACCCTTCTGTCTACCCTCCCCCTGCTGGAGTGGAAGCCTGTGTTTCCCACCTCTGGCTTCAGTGGCCATGTGGGCCACTGGCAGCACCCTTCCCGTATGGACTCCATGTTTGCTCTGTCCTGGCTGGTCCTCCAGCCTGCTCCACCCAGGTGCTGACGGCTAGCCTCCAGAACGCAGCTCACACCGCTTCTCCTACCAGTCCTCACCACACCAACTCTGGCTTCCAGATAGGGCTCAAAACTCGCTTTCTTCAGGAACCCTTGCTTGTCCCCTTCAATGAGTCCCTAAGTCAATGTGTTGTTCATTTTGCGTTTCCTGAGGGGTTACTGTGAGTCATTCTCATTTTAGTTTATAATAACGCTTTGCCTAACTAGTGACATCATAAGTCACCAGGAGGAATTCTCCACAGCCTCTAGTGGAGGATTCCATGTAGAGTAAGCCCTCCGCGAAGGCTGGTTTGCAGAAGGTAAGAGCATGAAGCCTGCACTAGACAGTAAGCTCCTACTCTCATAGGCACTGCTCTCGTTCATCTTTGTACCCCCTCCACCACCACCTTCTAGGGCTCTGACTGTTCCTCAATTCCATAGACATTTATTGAACACCTACTATGTGCCAGAAACTGCACTGGGTAAGCTAGGAATTCAGCAGTGCACCAGGCAGACGAGGTCCCCGCATTGTGGCGTTTGTGCTCTGTAGAGGAGACAGCCAACGAGGAAACCAACAAGTAGTCTAACCACAGGATAGGGCAAGCACCTCACAGGAAGTGAACTGCGCTCTGTAACAAAGAAGGAGCATGTTTGTGCTGAGGCTTGAAGACTGGTGAGGAAGAAATTGCCCCTCGGCCTTCTCTTATTTAATAGCCCCCACTCCTTGAACTTCCCTTTCAATAAAATATTCATTTAAAGGGATGTAATAAGGTGACACGTTACGCATTTTCCTGGTCAGTGGGTTCACAAACCACTGACACAGCTGACCACGAACTAATCATAGTCTCTCTAAGGGCTGTTTGTTTCACCTGCACTGTGAGGGTAGTGGCCCTGGGGCCCCAGGAGACGGGGGCCAGTGGAGATGGTGCCCAGCTGCACAGAGCTCTGCACTGAGGGGCATCTGACACCGGTACTGGTTTGTTTTGCAGGTGAGCCGGCCTCATCCCAGCGACCACCCTCTCCTGATCCTCTTCGTGGTGGGCGGAATCACAGTCTCTGAAGCCAAAATGATCAAAGACCTTGTGCCATCCCTGAAGCCAGGAACCCAGGTACCAAGGAGTGCTTGGTGATAAGCATGAGAGTCCTGGGGCAGGGGCAGGGGCAGGAAGGGTGGCTGAGGGCCCTTCTTTAGGGTTTCCAGAATGCCCATCTCCATCCCAGCTCCTCCTCCCACCTACTCCTGCTAAGGTCACGCTCTCCTTCTGCCGGCACCCTCCTGGTGGGGGTGCAAGGAGGGGAGAGAGCTTTCACAGTCATCTCCTGCCTCTGGGCTTCAAGGGCTAACGTGCTATTGTCCCTATTCCCTATTTCAACATAAATTCTCTTGTGCCTAATCAGTGCTGAATTACTCAAGAGTTTTCAGGCTCCAGGCTCCAAGTAATTAAGGGGAACGCCAAGGACCACCTCCCCACTGTGACAGTTGAAGGTCTGGGCTAGGGGAGTTGGGGAAGGCACATTATGGAGACAATGACAAGTGTAGAGTCTTTCTCCTCTGTAGCCTCCTGTCAGGTCCCATCTCACTCCCCAAATCAGTGGCCTGGGGGTTACATGGAAATGGGGCTGGCAGCTCTGAATCAGAAATCTGGTGAGTGGCGAGAATGTGCCTCTTAGCACAGTGCCTGGTACATACCCCTCAATAAGTCGTGGCTGCAGTTATTATCAACCGCTTCTGAGCAGTTACCACCCTGCTTGGCAGGACCGGCCGAGGCTCCTGGCATGAGGCCGCAGGAAACCGAGGAGAAAGACTTCAGGAAAAGGAGGGCCCCTGCCTCGGTGTGCTCTGATCTGGCTGGGGAAGCAGAGCCTGTAACTCAGGAAGATGAAAACCCAGCCTCAGCGGGTTCCCCACAACAGAGCCTGAGACGGGACCTGAGAACAGGTAGCTTACATGGGAAATGACCCCAAGAAGCACAAGTGAGGGAATCAGAAAAGAGAGACAGTAGAGGGAGAAGAACCAGAAAAGGGCACATCACTGAGGTGGTTGCTGCTGTGGGCAATTGAGCCTCAGTACTTTGGGGGCCCCTCAGGACAACAGGGAGTCTGGGACATCCCGTGGGCTCCCCTCCCCCATGCCCTGGTTGCGACTGACTTCTGGGGGCTTATCTCCAGCTTTGTGCTAGCTCTGCATGCAGCTCAGTAGCTTTCCATGGTTTGGAAAAGGCAAAACAGAGATGTGAGTGCGGTGCTTCGGGTAGGATGCTAGCTTGTGCAGGGGACCGCTCACCACTGCGCAGAAACCAGGTGGGATTCCAGCCCAGGCCTGGCTGCCAGGGGTAACAGTGTCTTTATCTCCCACCACCACCCACTACCGAAATTTTACCCCGCTGTGACCACAACAGGTGATGGTAGCAGCAGCCAGCCAGGTGTGCCCTCCTTCTTGTCTTCCTGTCCTACCTGTTGTTCCAGGCCTTTCCTATACCTCTGCTGGCATCCCAAATCCATATGCTGCAACACAGCACTGCGCTGCTTGCCCTCTGCTCCCTAGCTGCTGGCCTCGTCACCTCAAGCAAAGGTGAACACCTTGAGGATGAAGGCTGTGGTTTCCCAGGCCTGAGCACATGTCAGGAGCTCCATCAGCCTTGTGGTCTGATGGCTCGATTGGCTGCAGGAAGGCTGGCTTGGTGTTGCAGCGGGTCAGCTGGGGAAGTAGACAAGGCCTGGTCCCTGTTGGTCTTCAGACACCCAACTGAAAAGTGGACCCAGGTATCTATGGAGTTACAGTAGATTCTTGAGCAAAGGAGTGACCAGTCATTGGTGGTGACCATTTCTGCTGTTACTATCACCTGTCCTATTCAGAGCTGGTGACATTTCTGATAAAGTGGTAAATTCTGCCTCATTTAACACCCTCTCTGTCAGTAGTGTTAAGGATCTGTTTAAGGAGCAATTGCCTTTGCAGCAAGGCAATTTTTTTCTTTTTTTAAATCAGAAAGCATACTGTTTGCCGCCCCTTACCATGGTGAACCAAATTCTTAGCGATTCAGAACAGTCATGCATTGTAACAGCCTGACAGACATGTTAATCCCCACTCTAAAAGGATAAAATACAGACGTTTTCAAAGCCGAGTGACCTGAGTTTGACAACAGAGACTGGATCTGCAGTGGCTTTGCTGCAGCCTGACCCTGTGCTCAGTCATCTGCAGAGAGGGCTCCTCAAAGAATTCTGAGCTTAGGGACCTGCTTTGACGGCTACTTGTCCTTTGTGCAAAATGTTCTCCGGAAGAGTTAACAGGCCCGAGGAGGATTCCAAAGAGGAGGTCTTTATCATCATGCCCTTCATCTCCAAGATTTGGGAAGGAGAGGGATTACCTGGATGTTTGCTACAGTGGCACCTGCAGGGGAAGCTCACCCCTCCTTGGACCTCCACAGACTCGCAGCTGCCGCGGCCATGCAGTTAACTCTGCCCAGACCGCCTGCTTTCAGAAGTGCAGTGGAGGTCAGGCCCTGCTGCACCAGCTATCCACAAACTGGCATGCACACGAGTGTCATTCTGTTTAGACGCACTGCTGTGGGAGCACGAGTGTGAACAAAACTGAATCTGTGCACCAACAGACCCTCAAAGACACATCTGGCAACCAAGGGAGTGACTCTGACTTCACTGTCAATGTAAACAGTGAAAATATAGGTATCTAATACTTCCTTCTGTCCTTCATATCCAGCCTACACATGAACATCTCCAGGGACGAGGATTTGCCCCTCCCACAGCAGCCTCCTTGAGTCTCACAGGGCTTCGCTGTTAGGATGTTATGCCTCCTCTAGACAAGACCAAATTGGCCTCCTCTGAGTGCTCACTCATCAGTGCTGGTTCTAGCTTTTGGGCCACCCAGAACTGACAAGCAAATCTGGCTCATCTCTCTTCCGTGTGTCTTCCCGCAGGCCTGCTCTTCTCCAAATTTAATATCCCCAGTTCCTACAGCCACCCCGCCCCAGCCCTGACTGTCCTTGGCCCAGCGTGTCTCTCGCTTGCACTCGATTGGAACTGAGAGCCATCCCTGGTGTGGCCTGATCAGTGTAGAGGCACCTGGGGCTGCCTCCTCCTCGCCCACCACGGCCTGCAAGGCCCCACACGATCTCCCTCCTGCCTCTGGGCCTTCTTTTCCTACCACACTTCCACTTGCTTACTCCGCCCCCTCCAGCCCCAGGACTTTGCACTTTGCACTATTTTATTCTTAGCACCTCAAACAGGGTCTGGCACTGGGTGTTATGGTTGTTTGTGCGTTGGCTACCGAATATGGAACACTGGAAACTTTACTTGTATTATTACAGCATAGATAAAAGTAACTTTTCTGGAGACGACGCCAACTTGTTGTTGTACATTACAGACAGCTAACACCACTCTGTCTTTTGTGTCAATTGCTATTGATCCGTACCTTCTCTATTCAGTTGCTACGTGGGTGCCCTTTGGACCCAAGTCCAGGAACTTACAATCATGTCTGTTAAATTGGATTAGTTGTTATTCATCCACTCTCTACTGAGCAGTGTTCTTTGTGCTGAAGATAGAGCGGTCACCAAGCCAGGCACGTTCCTGCTTCCATGGGACTTACACACTAAGAGTCAGTGATGGGCCGTAAACAAGAAACTGCAGCCAGAGATACGTGCTGTGGTCACTGGAGGGGAGGCTCGTTCAGACAGCCATCCCGGGCTGCTCAAAGGAAACTGCTAGAATCCATTCAAGGCACATCCAGAAATGAATTCCCTGTCACAAAAAGTGACAAGGGTTGCATGAAACAGTGGAATCCAGAGGCCACATCCACACCTGCTCCTCCGTAGGACTGCTGTCATACACTAAAATGGGCGTGTTTTCTCCCAGGGTTGTTGCTGGGTGTGCTGGTGAGAGAAAGTGGGCAGCAAGAGAAGGGCCTCTTTCCTGACTACAAAACAACAAAGGGATCAAAGAGGCAACTCCCCCACCCAGCTGCAACCACTGGCAGGAAGCTTTGCAGGCTTCCCTCGCTCTGGAGCGCGTGTGCCTGGCACTGGCCTCTGTCTCGCTCACTCGCTGCCTGGTATGGGGTTCCATGCCCAGACAGCTCTGCAGACTGAACTCTGTTGCTGGATGGTGGCCAGGAGGCCAGCAGGAGCCTGGGATTGTGGGAGGAAAATAACAGGGAGGGACCCTCCCAGAAAATACAGGGACAGGCCAGCTCAGGAAACAGGAAGAAAGTGGACAAGCTAAGCCACCATCCACCGCTTTTCACAGGCGCACGCGTGCTGCCCACCCACCCTTTCACGTGGTTCTACGGTCCTGGGGCTTAATAGTTGATGATAATGTCATTTTTTTAAAAAGCAGACCCAGAAATGTGCTCCTGTACAATTTTGCACTTTAGGGGTTCAAGAACACCTACATCCTGGCTCTAACACCTTCAGGCTCCAGGTTATTCTAAAGCTGTTAGAAAGCCCAAGGAGAGGAGTCAAGTGACATGTTTTAAAAACCATCACAAGGGACAAAGGTGAGGTGGCGACCTGAAACCTCACACTTGCCGCTCTCCAGGAGAACCTGCTAAGGTCTGCACGCGGACCTCTTAGGCAAGGTGAAAGCAGGTCTGACAGCTCACGATGAGTTTTCCAGAGAGCTCTGTCATGTCCACGGAATTAATCCACTGTGCCACTGGTTAATGAACAAACCTCTCATATCTAACACAAGTGTGTGAGTGTGTGACTGTGTGTGTATGCGCATGTGCATATGTGGGTGACTTTACCTGGGAAGAATCTCCCAAGTTTAAAAGCAAAAGGGAGAAAACACATTTTTTATCTCCTGTTGCGTTCAATTTACAATGTTAGAAATCAGAGGTATATGGGATCTAAATCCTGGACCGCCCTGCTTCCTCTGTTCTGTGTTCTGCAGAAATAGAACCGGAAGATGCTGGCACTTACAGATTATAGCGAAGGACTGGAGAAGTGGAAAGTGGAAAGAAAGCCAGGGAGGGCGGTGACTCCCTAGCACTGGCCTGCTGCTGCGGGAGCTCTGGCAGGCTGAGAACAAAGACCAAACCGCCCCTCTTGCAGCTAGAGCATAGTGCCACTGTGGAGCCCCTGGGCTGCTTTAGGGGCTTGGCCGGGGCTCTCAGGGAACCCTAGTGCCTGTCCATTGCCCTGTCACAATTGCCCTCGGTTGCCTGGAATGAGCCAATTCTCCAAAAGCAATTCTCTTAACACTCGGTTTGCCTAATATCACACGTCTGATTACTGTGTTTATAAAATTTAAATTTCATATCTGACAGGCCAATTTCAGACTCCTTTAAGCATTTTCTTTCCATTTTTTGAGTGTCTTTTCCCCCCATTTGCCTTATTTTTTAGAATTTTTAAGGACTATTTTAGCCAAGTAATGCATAAATGCCATTAGTTGAGTAGACTAAAAATAAAACTCTGAAAATGCTCAAAAGCAAGCTAAAAATCAAAAGACGCCTAAGATGTGGAAATGCTTAAGGACCATCAACTGTTATACTGTCAATGAATTGTTAGCAGTGCAATCCTGCTCTTCCTTCAAAATAGGAATTTTAGACAAATAGGTTTTTAGTTGAATCAATTTGAAATAAATTTACCCAGAGCTATTTGAACTGTCTTTTACTGGAGAAACTTCCTGCTGGCCACTGCTAAACCCACTGCCTTCTTCATTGTCTTATTGTTTTTGTTCATTCACTTAATCATTCACCAACTCACTACAGCAAGGACCTGCTATGTATCGGTCCCTGTGATGAGAAAATGAAAAGACTCAGTTAAGGAAACAGGGAATACAGGGTGATACCAACAGCCGTGGGAACACAGTCAGGCTTGGCGGTGGGAGCTGGTCTGGGAAGGCTTCCTGGAGGCAGTGATGCCTGAGCAGACTGAGAGGCCTTCAGGCAAAGACTGAGGGAACTCATGTTCCAGATAAAAGAAGCATCTCCAAAGTTTCAGTTGTGCAACTGAAAATAGGTGGTGGTGGCTAGAACGTAGGACTGATGGTGAGGGGGGTTGGTGGCAAGGGGGTGGGTGTGGATTCTAAAGTCCTGATTCTAAAAAAGCCACCAGATTCTAAAGTCCTGAAATGCTCTCTAAGATGGTTGGGCTTATCAAAGGGCAGGCAGGAGGTGGTAAGGATGTTAAGCCCCTGAGTAACAGGGCCAGACTTACACTTGGGAAGGATGGCTCTAGCAACTGTACCTTTCTGCTTCATCCCTGGTGACTGCTATGAGCCGAATAGAGGGAATACAGCAGAGGATGAAGACAGTGAGGTGGTGGTGATGCTGAAGACAATTATAGCTACCATTTTAAGCCCCTCTACAGCCTGCCATTATGCTAAATAGTTTACATATATGTTCACGTTTGATCCTTATAAGAATCATGTGAGGTGGATATCACTCTTCCCACTTTATAGACAAGGCAATTGAGGCTCAGAGTGATTAAGCAACTTCCCCTGAGTCATCTGTCTGGATAGTGGCCCAGCTGAGGTCCAACTCAGCAGGGACACTGCTAAGCCTGTGCTCTTAAGACTGCGATATCAGAAAAGCCCCCGGTGTCTCCGCTCTGCTCTCTCCACACCTCAGAGACCCCCTGACTTACTTTCCATGCTGCCTCTGTTTTCCATCTGTTTCTCTTCAGCCCTGCCCCGAGCAGGCCCCAGACACCCTCGGGTTCAGCCCACATGCTGTGTAACTCTGCTTGTTTAGATGTGAAGGGCCTGCTCTTTGGGTCCAGCTCAGTAGAGGCCACCAAACCCAGAGCCTCTGTCAGCTGTGGCTGGAAGCCCAGCACACAACCTGAGAGTGACGGATTATTTTGGCTCAGTTATCACTGCTCTAGAAGCGTCAACATCAACTGAGTCTGTAGCCTTTTCTCTTCAAGTTCATCAATCCTGCCAACAAGACTTAAGCATCCTGAGAGACTCACTCTAGCCCTTACACTTTCCCTCACCTCAGCCAGAGAAGAATATGCCATCTTGGCACTGGACCGAAGGACCAAGGGTCTTGCAGTGGTGGTAGGGACTGGCAAGTCACAAGGACAGAGGGGTCTTTGGCACCCCAGCTACACTGGCCTCTGCTACCTCACAGGAGTCTATTACCAGAGAGTATGCCGAGGAGTGTTGTTATTATGTGTGCATTGTTTAAAATATCTAAATAAGGTTTCTTAACTCGTAGTCTATGAATCCTAGTTGTACACAAACCACCGAACACTATATTCAGAATCTTGTGTGTATGAACATATGCATATGTTTTTAGTTTTTAGCGTTCATAAGATTCAAAAAGAGACCTATGACTCAATCACAAAACCACAGTAAAATAGCAGCTCTCAACTGCTGAGCACCTCCTGTGCTCTACACACTTGACCTTATGTAAGCATTGCCACAGCGCTGCAAGCTCAGGGATGTAGTTTAACTGCTGAGATAAATGATAGATAGATAGATAGATAGATAGATAGATAGATAGATAGATAGATAGATAGATAGATAGATAGATAGATAGACAGACAGACAGACAGATAGATGAGTCTCCAAGTGAAGTGACTTTCCCCAGGGCATAACCAATCAGCAGTGGAGCTGGGCTCTTTGGGTGTCTGATGAGGGAGTCACCATTCTCAACCAGCCATTAGGTTTGGCCTAGGAGACCCTGAGGAGTGAGCAGAGACCTTCTCCAAAGCCCCATATTGCAATGGTATCTACACCGTGTGTGTGGATGATCACGGCTTCTACAATTCTATTCACTCTCTGCCCTCCAACTCGCATCATTTGCCCTCAAGGAAAAATGTGAGCACAGATTTCAGAGTATTCCTTTATGCCAAAAATATGACTAGGCTGACATTAACCATATAGATATATTTTTAAGATAATTCTCTTTCAAGAAAAAATAAAATAGCTGCTTCTAAAGACTAATTTTTGTTTTAAGCAGAAAACTTTTAATAACCCTCATTTCTTTAAAAAGGAAATTATAAAGTGATTCTTTCTCTCCTCCCCATCTGCTTTGCCTCCACACTGGAGTGTGGACTGTTTCGGACCAGTAACCTGGGAAGGTCATTGGTTTGGTTACACCTGGGACAGGTCCGGGGGTGGGAAGGGAGATAGTGATGTGTGCAGTACAGGGCAGGACGGTCAGGTGAGCCCAGTCCCGCTGCCAGCCTTGCAATTCCCTTCAGCCCTGTTCTGGGCTGTGATCATCTGATTCTAGTACGTCCTTCCCCATTTCCCATAGTCACCACCTCATCTAGTGGGTAAATAATACCTACCTGTGCAAAACCTCACCAGTCTTCACAATGCACATCCCAAGCGCAGCCCAGCCCTGGGGAACAAGTTCTCCCCATGCTGCAGACAGAAAGCTGCCCCAGAGGAAAGGTCCAGGCTGAGGGACGCAGGAGGGGTCAGCTGTCACATGACAGGCCGGAGGGGCCCAAATGTCCATGTGTACTAGGGGAGTAAAGCAGCCTTGCCTGGAGCCCTTGACCATGAGGAAGTGACCAAAAAGATACTTAGACACTGGAGCCAGCCCGCCTGAGTTGGAATCCTGACCTAACTATTTTCTGTGTTTCTTTAGACAAGTTACTGAACCTCCCTGTACTTTATTTTCCTTACTGAAAAAGAATAATATATGTACCTATTTCATAAGGTTGTTATGAAGGTTAAATGGGTACTAAGTTCTATCATCCTCAGTGCTGGCACATCATGAAAGCTGATAAATATTAGCTGATATCACCATTATCATCATTGTTATGAGTTGAATTTTGCCTCCCTCCCAAAGATGTTGAAGTCCAAACCCCTACCATGAATGAATGTGACCTTATTTGGAAATTGGTCTTTGCAGATGATCAAATTAAGATGATGTCATTAGGGTGACTGTATGACTGTGTCCTAATAAAAAGGGGAAATTCGGACAGGGACAGACATGCACAGAGGAAAGACGATGTGAAGACACAAGGGAGTTAAGAGGGAAGCATGCAACAGATTCTTCCTCACACCCCTTGAAGGAACCAACCCTGCCAACACCTTGATCTTGGACTTCTGGCCTGCAGAACTATGAGATAGGAAACTTCTGTTATTTAAGCCACCCAGTACCTGGTACTGGAAAATTAATACAATCACCATCATTATCACCCACAACAACATTTACCTATTGGGTGTACCTTCTCATGCTCCCGGAAGGAGGGAGAAACCTCTACTTCAAGGTCAAATTACTGGATCGAAAAGCAGCGGCATGATCAAATTCAATTTAGCAGCAGGGAGATGGCTGGGCTTGGCCATTCTTAGTGCCTTGTTGGTTCAAGTTTAAGCAGGCACAGCCCTGCCGTCCCACAGGCCATCCTTCCGTCCTCGCAGATGCTAGGACACTATCATCTGGTGGCATTCAAGCTACCACCTTTTGCCTTTCTCTCCACACTACCCACTCTGTGCCTTCCCCCAAAGAAATCTATTCTGTTTTATTTCCCATCATCTAATAACCTGGGATTGGCTTCCCTAATTGTCTGCGGTGTGTTTGCCCTTCCTGTTGTTAGGTAATCGTGCTGTCCACTCGACTCCTGAAGCCACTTAACATTCCTGAGCTGTTATTTGCAACTGATCGGCTGCACCCAGACCTTGGCTTCTGAGCATCTGCTAAGAAGATGAGACCTACCTGAGCTGGAAATACCATGCTATTGTCTGTCACCATTCAACATGTGCCTCCAAATCCATTGTCCCTAGGACTGAGTGTGGCTATGACTGAATGCTGCCCGAAGGGTCTTGAGAACCCACAGTGAAGTACTTTGCTTTGATTCCTGTGATTCTTTTTTTAAAAATGTTTTTTCACCTTTTAAATGTGTCAAACTGTCTCTCAGCTGGCCTACTTTGTAATAACTCCAATTTATTTTCAACCCTCTGTTTGTGGTCTTCCTTATATCACCTCCAAGTTCATTACTTCTAAGTAGATGCCTGTTGGTGAGTGTTGGTAGATTACCAGCCTTTGGATCTGCAGTTGCTCAAAAAGAAGTTAGGCATGCTTTAGAATTATGAGTCTGAGGAAAGTTTCTTTTTTTCTTTTCTGAAGATTATATGACTGAGGAAGGAACATTGCAAATAGGATCTGAGGCTTTGTTTCTCTCTTGATCTGAGACCTTTCTGAAAAGGCTAGGAAAAGAGGGAGACCAGGCTAGGGCTGCTCTGCTGCATTGTAAATTGGCCCACTGCAGGCTGCGTTGTTCCTGCCCGCGCACTGGGCAGGGCTGCCAGACCACTTAGAATATAGTAGTGGGAGAGAGGTTGATGAGAGGGCTGTTTCTGCCAGTGAAAGGTTTCCTCCTCTCCCAAAGAAAGACCCACAGTAAAGATATCTGGTACCAGGGAGTTTAGATTTGAATCCCAATCCCTGTGACTTTTGTGATTTCACTTCTATTAAAATATAAACTTTCTTTTCTAAGTCTTAATTTTCCTCCTAGCCATAGCAAAAACAAAAAACAAAAAAAAACCTAGACCCACATAGTGAAATGATATATGAACTGTGGCAAAAAGGAACTGTTTGGAACCCACACATGTGTAAGTGTGTAGTTGATGGAAATTTCTAGCATCTCTAAAAGATGTTTATAATAAAGAGATAAAGCTGAAAAACAGTTTTTCTAGCATGGATTAAAAGGTGGAGGAGATAAACTGTAAGCAGAACACTCAGATGTCTCTGTTTTTGTCCTTGACAAAACAGTCATTTTTATGAAAAAACTGTGAAGTTGGAAATCATTCTGAGACATAATCACAGCAGGTTTTATAAACACCGATGTTCTTTTTTTCTCTGTCCAAGTGTGTTTTCCACTTCATACTGGTTCTTTCATGATGCTGCAAAATTGGAGATGCGCTTTTTCTTTCCACTAATCTAGAAGTTTGGATTTGAATAAGTTAGAAAATGGCCATAGCCCAAAAGAAATGATCATTAAAGCAGAGATTGCTATTTTCTAAAATAAAAAAATAAAGAAGTAAGCTGCTCTGTGTCTCAAATCTGCATTCTTTTCATTCATTCATTCAATCACTCCATTAATTCCCAAATCTCGAGTGAGCACCTGGCATGTTCCAGACACTCTGCTAGGTTCCGGCCAGGGTGGTGAATGAGCCAGATGCGACCGTGACCCGATGGCTCTCACAGGAAGAGCAGCTGGTGCGTCTCCTGATCCTCAGGCCCTGTGTGAGTATCTGCTCAAGGGTAAGTGTTAAACCATATGTCTATCTGCAAAGAAAACTTTCTGTAAATATAAAAGCCAAACTGTTAACAAGTAGTTACCCCTGGGAAGGACTATAAAATAGGAGGGCTAGGGATACAGGGAGTCTTGCTCTCAATATGCTTCCATGTTGTTTGAATTATTTTCACCGCAAACATGTATTTCTGTATGACTTTTGCAGCTTTAATGTATTTTTACAAGTTAATTTAAAAAAAGAACATTCAGGGCTGGCCGAGTGGCGTGATGGTTAAGAACTGGCTTGGGATGCCAGAGGGCCCCGGTTCAGATCCCACATATGAGGTCCAGTGACACTACCCTCTACAGCTAAGATGCTGAACAACAGCTCAACCTGGAGCTGAGCTCTGCCATGAGTTGCCCGGCGACGGTGTAGGCTGCAGTCCCTGTGGCAGTGGGTTGCCATGGGCTACCGTGTGTAGCCAGCAGCCAGCGTGAGCAGCCGTCCTGAAGCCGGCAACTGATCTGCCTCGCCCGGGAAGAGCGCAATGATGGTGCCAACTTGGGCCAGTGAAGCAACGTCCTCCACAACTAGACTGAAGAACAAAACGACACCAACTTATGTGTTCCCTTTCCCCTAATTCCCCAATAAAAATCTTTAAAAAAAAAAAAAAGAACATTCAAAAGCTTCTCGTCTGAGATGATAAAAGGTGGACATTCCTGCTTGTAAATGTTATCATTAAGCACTTGCTATGTCTCAAAAATGCTCTCAGTGCAATATTAAATATGGCCAAAGGCAGTCTCTGAAAGGTAGAGGGGAATGTCAGAAGCCTGGTTTATCATCATCTTTTCGCATCCCTGTGGTTCCTGGTTGGAGGAACTGAGCTAGGCAGGCCATCAGGCAAGCAGAAGGCTTTGGAGAAAAGGTGAGCCGGAAGAAAGAAGTCTGTGGCGCCTAGAGTTTGGTTTGACTAAGAAGCTGGGAGTCACAGGACAGAGCACTGCTCCTTGAGTTAAAAGTGGGAACCTAATGGAAACTTGGCATAGATCCGAAAAGGGCCTTTACCAGAGAAGGAAGAAGTGGGGGCTCAGGAAATGGAGCATCAGTGCCCCCATCTGTAGAATCCAGGTAATAATGAATGGTACCTACCTCACGAGGGGGTCGCTATAGAAGGAAGCCATCCCTAACACAGCAACAAACACGTAACACCAAGGATTGTGGGTATTTACTGCTGAGGACACCAAAGAAGACAGCTCACAAAATGATAGCCTCAACAGGAGAATAATGTCATATGAAAAGACAATTTGGAGGCATCCCTGGGGTCCACAGGAGAGGAGAAAATGGAGGAATAACACCTTGGTCCCAGTACTTCCAAGAGAGTATGGCCCCGAGGCCCAGGAGCCGGACCTGCAGTCCAACTCCATGAGTGGGTTCCAATCCCCCCTCTTCCACACAGTGGTTTACTTCTCCCGGCCTTGTTGACTATGAAGCCTACCATATCAGATTGTTATAAGAATTAAACGAATTAAATGTGTGAAGCACTTAGAACATGGCGAACTGGCTGACAGCATAGAACAGTCACCATTATTGATAGTAAATGTCTGATGCTTGCTCACGCAGATCCTGTGTCTCTAATAGAACTTTCTCCATCACTAATGTAGTTGTGTGCATTCTGAGACTGACACCCTGACTTAACCATTTCCACCTCATCCAAATATACCGATTCTACAGGGATTTTCTCTGTACCAGACGTCAGCCACCTGGACATGGCTTCAAAGGCTGAGCTGAGTGGCCATGCTGGTTTCTCCTCTCTGGGCCTGGGTCAGAGTGTTTTCCACCTAAACTCTGGCTGGCCAGAGCCAAAGCAAGGACATACAAATGCAAAGCTTCAGCCAAGGACCTCATGGGCCACGCTATAAACAATTGATAGACATGTAAATACTCTGTAGCAATTGCCTTCTGCCTTTGTAAACCCTCCTTCTGGACTCCACTTCCCAGCAAACACAGCAGGCACAGCTAAGCCCTTGGAAGTTCGGGAGCTGCTTCAGCCACCCATGGAAATGGCTCTGCTGACACCAGGGCCCCCTCCTTGACAGTGGTATCCCAGTAACAACAGACTCCCAGCAAGCTCCCCCCAAAAACCACTATTATTTATTTTACCCTGGTTACCAGAAACAGATTCTCAGCAACAAATAATCCAGTATTACAAATGTTGCCTGCTGTCCCTGCCCAAGGAACATTAAGCAACTCCATCTCTATTTTAAAAGACAAAACCAGACAATGGAGGGGTTTGGGGGGTAGTGGCTGGGATTTTGCCACAGTCGGTAATAAACCAAATCCCATTTTCTTCTCACAAAAATACAAGAGTAATGAGAACAAGAACTTTCTGGAAGCATCTCTCTTTAGACTCTAAAGGGACTGCAGAAAACACCAGTTTTCCTGGGCTATTTATTATAATAAATAAAGCCCTCTAGGCCATTCCCCGAGGCCCATGTCTTGACTTGGTGGAGTCTGTGGGGTGGCACCTTTTTCTCCCACCAGTGCAGAGGCAGGGCCAGGAGTTACCCAGCTGCTCGCTTTTGAGGGAATTTACCACAGGCTTGTTCATTAGTCCAGAAAACACATTGGTTTTCTCCCTCTTTGGGAGAAAGACGTGTAAGAAGTGTAAGATGAATGTTGAAAACCCATTTTTCACCAGAACGGAGAGCTCATTGTAAATATGCTCTTGGCTAGGGGCTGCCGGGTGGGTGATGCGCTGGGCATGCAGATGCCAGCGGGGTGAGGAGCCGGGAGGGCTGGGAAGGTTTAGCCAGCTCCACTCTACACCATGCCAGGTAGGCTACAAAGTGTTCCAAATGTTTTTGATTTGCAGCAGGGAGGAAACGCGAAACCAGGCATCATGACAGACAAGGATCCGGTTCTGTAGCACATGGGCTGTGGGCTGGGCTGGACCCCGCCCCTGCCTGGATGTCTTTATTACTGAGTTGAGACTGGAGGTCAGTGAGCAGCCAACTAATGGCAACAGCAGATGTGTTCATGGCAGCCAGGCGGGTCTGGGGCCCGGGAGGAGCCACAAGCCTACAGGGAGATTAAGGAAATCAGGACAAGGAACATAGGCCAGGGCAGGGAGGGCCAGCATGTGGACGACAGAGGAGAGCTCCAAGGCAGCTTTGCTTAGCAGAGCAGAGCTGGCACGCTGTGGGCCAACTGCCTGGATCTAGGCTGTGGCATCAGACAGACCTGGGCTGGAGTCCTGAATCTGCCACTCAAGAGCTGGACTCGCTATTGAATTCTTCTGAGCCTCCCTTCTCCGTATCTGTAAAGGGACTAAAGAAGGATTGTAAGGTTGGTGTGGAGAAACACCCCACACAGTGCCTGGCATACAGAAACGGTAATTGTTACTACCTGTGTGGCCCTAAGCAGGTAATTTAACCTCTCAGTGTCGGTTTTCTCATCTTTAAAATGGAAGTGGTATTATTACCTTCATCACAATATTCTTTAAAAGATTAAAGGAGATAATTTATAATCTGGCCCATTGTAAGTGCTCAGTCAAGTCTCCTTTCTTTCTCCACTGCCCTGACACACATACACCCCCACACACATCCCTGCGTTCCCTTACCCAAGTAGCAAAGGTGGTGCTCCCCTACCAGGGTAGGAGAGGGCTGTTTCTCGGTGCCACATGGTTGTAGTTCAGAAGCTTAAAAACACTGTAAATGCTTACTGTGCACCACGGGAGGCTATCAGAACAGAGGCTTAGAGTCAAAGGTGCGCCTAAATCCACTCTCAGCCATTTTATGGCCATGGGGTTTTGGCAAATTGCGTGTACTTTGTGGCCCTTGATTGCCTTTTCTGTGAAATGGGAGAAATGATACTTACCTCATAGCCTATTATAAGAATTGTGTCTATAAAATGCCAATAAAAGAAATCTTAAAGATTAAAAAAAATTAAACACAAACAGGGATTAAGAGTTACTAATAATGAAAGAGGGGAGCAAAGGTAATGAAACATGAAGCTAAATTCATGAGAAGAAAACATGGTGTATTCTAGAGCTATAAATAGTCAAGTCAGCCTGAGACAGTGGACAGAACTGGGACTTGGGTGGTTTCCAGCTCGCTCGCTCTCTCTCACATTGTCTCGCTCAGTGTGGCCTTGAAGGAACCACTCCATCCCTCTGGGTGGAACAGAGCTCTCAGACCCCTTCCAGCCCGAACTTCTGGTGAAGTATGAGAAATACTGAGTCCAGCACAGTGGATAAGTGGGGCAACCATCAAGTGCCAGGAGGTGCAGCTGGCAGCTCAACACGGGCGCAGGAGAGGTCTGCAGACTAGTGGAGCAGATGGAAAGGACAGGCGAAGGAGCAGTGTGCCAGTAATAAACGGAAGTACAGCTCTGCTCAGCACCTTTGCGAGAGTACGCCCGCAGGGAAATTCTTTATTGTCTTTAATTCCAGAACATGGGTGGAGGACCATCGTTTACTATACAAAGATTAACCTCTCACTCAGTGGACAGTATTAACACAACCACGTAGAGTGAACAGAAATAAAAGTGAGCAGAATCTATTCAGAGATACTTGTCGCTGTCTTTGAATGGAGATGTTTTTAGAATGTTAGCACCATTTCCCTTCCTGCTCCCAACATACTCACCCTTTTCCGAGATTAGGTTAGGCTTCAAGTGTAAAAAATTGCCCCCGCAACTCCCCATAAAAAGGCAGCACCAGAAGCCTTGTCAAAAGCAGGCAGGGGATTTACCCTGTGAGAAAACAGATTTGAAAGTCTGGCACCATACCAAGTCAGGCCCTCAGTAGCTATTCCTTTTGGCTGCTTCCCTTGGTCCCACGGCCCCACATATGCAGCAGTATTTCATATATGAAATGTTATAAGGGAATAAGAAGGCTGAATATGGTAAACAGTAACATGAACGAGCCACTTTAAAATGGAGCCAGAGCTGCCATGCCAGAGGAACTGCCTTGTAGGTCTTATACCTCAAAACTTGGACTGTTAAAAACCGAGCAAAATGAGCTTTGAACTGGGCCTACACAACCTTATTACCCAAAGACCTCTTTACAAAGAGGACGTGACTACTGGACTGATGACTACTGGAATGAAAATGGAAGACATTTAGAATTAACATCACTATGTAATGTTATCTGCACTAATAGAAATGCCATCCTTCTATTGATGTATTATAATTGTTCCCCTTCCCTTTCTCATAAGTACCCATTGCCTTTGTCTCCTAATAGGAACGTTATTTGGGCTTCTGCCTGAACTAATGATTCCTGAATAGCTATTCTTATTGATGTCAAATAATGTCAAATAAATACTTGTTTCCTTCTCAACTGGAAAGGTCATTTTAAGTTAACATTATAGTCAGAAGACATTGATTCAAGTCCTCTGTGTGAACTTGAGGACACCACTCAAAACTCGGAACCTGTTTTTCTCATCTGTAAAACAGTATTACCTCTTTCACCTTCTTCACAGGGTTCTCCCGAGGAATAAATGAAATCAGGCACGTGAAAGCACTACTCAAGGAAATACAGTAATACCTTGATTTGCGAGTGTAATTCGTTCTGGAAACAAACTACTCATATTGCAAGACATTGCTCGTTTACCATGTTAAAATGTATTAGAAATGTTGGCTCATCTTGCGGAACACTCGCAAACCATGTTACTCTCAATCCAAGGTTTTACTGTAGAAGGTGTGCCTATTACCATAAAGATGATGACTCGCTTAGCTTGCATGAAAGGTCTCTGGGGCCCAGACAGACACAGAAGAGCAGCCTGGCAGTTTTAGCACATACACTTGTTGCAGGAGCCACAAGGGAGGGGATCCTGAATGGCCCAGATCAAAGGCTCCAAGCTTCTACAGTGAGGGAGAATAAAGTGCTTTTTGAAAGACGCATACCCAAAAAAAGAGAATTGCCAAATCAAGCATGTATGGAGAAGCAGTTATCTTGGGTAGAAGTAATAACGTCTTCAAGGCTTAGCTGAGGTGTCTTCACAGCGTAAAACATGTTGCCAGACGTGTGTCAGATTTACCTGGGATCATGAAGATGAACAGATGTGCTACTCTTGAATATGAAGCAGCAAATTGCAATCGACAACACTCACAGGCTATAGCCTTTGACAAGATATTTAGCTTGTTTGTAAGCCTGTTTCCTCACCTGCAAAGTGGGAATAGCAACAGAATGCACCTCTTTGGTTGGCTGTGACACTTCAGAGATAATTATTGGAAGGCATAATGCCTGACTCAACAGGCACAAGATACTGAGTAATACTTTGTCTGAAGGAAAAAGGTGAGTGATTCAAGAAGACCACGTCGGACATCTGCTCTTTTAAAATGAGATTTATTGTACATAAAAATAAATTAATTACAATTTAAGCCAAAGCATGAGTGGCTTTTTAAAGTGCATCTGTGTAGGGGATCTGGCAGTAGCCCCTGCATCAATCCACCTGCTGTAAGATAGTGTTGTATTTCAGCCATGACTCAGCCAGGCCTGGGAAGCAACCCAATGTCACTGCCATGAGCCACTTACACAAATCACTCCAAAATCAATGGACACACTTTTTTGTTCCTGTACCTGATGCAACAGTTTATAAAACAAAATTATAGTCTCACAATTACTCAAAGTCTGGGGTTGAAGAGTTTGAATTCTCAACCATTCAACACAGGCCCAACTCAGTGGCCTCATCCATGTCAGGTGGAACCAGTGCCTTCCAGCAGGCCATACAAGCTTACAGATGTCTGCAAACCCAACATTTTGGCCCATACACTCTACTCTTTTTTGGGAGAATATTTTCCTCTTTGTTCTTCAAAAAAGAAATATGGGTATCCTTCAGGTTAGAAAGGCATTCTATAAGGAAGTGTTCAAATCTTATTTGTAAGAGAAAAGCAATTCTTTCTTTTTTTGGAGGGGGGGGGGAGAAAAAGAAAGAAAAAAAAAGAGAAGTCTATGAGAGCTTAATCTGTTCTTTCATTCCCACTGTAAATCACATCAATATATTTGGTGAAACTACAACTGACTGTCATTTACAAGGTAGTTAAAAACAAAATCCAAATGGACTATGGCCCCTTCCCACTCCATAGGAAAAGACACAGAGTACATGTCACATATTCAGAGGGCGGCTCGGTGGGCTCATTCAGGCCTCATCAGTTCTGTCCCCCTGCTCAGAACAACGCTTCCTTTTCTGCACCAATTCCACAGGCCCTCCTGGCCTCTCTGCTACAGCCCTTTCTGGAACCAGGAGTTACTGCCAGCACTCAATGTTCCTGCAGCAGAAGAGCCTCAGGCTCTCTTCCTGGGAAGACCAAACCCCCCCGTGACTGAGTGCCCCAGCTTCAGACGGAGGTGACAGTCCTCACTTTGGCAGAAAGGGCTTGCTTGAACCTCCTCTTCAGGTCCTGCATGTTGGGTGACTTGGGCCTGGGGATGAGGGAGGTTCTTCGCTTCTCTGGCGTACTGCTGGGCGGCTGTTTGTGACTCACTTCTTTGCACAAGATGTGGAAAGCATTGTAGACATCATTGTAATTTTCGCTGACGGACACTTCATAGAAAGAGCAACCCAGCACGTTGGCCAGCTGCAGTCCGAGCTGAGGGTCCACCTGCTTGATGTGCAGCAGGTCAGCTTTGTTGGCCACGACCACCACAGGCAGCCGAGTGCCCAGGTGTAGCTGCTGGACAAGCTGGTGGAGCTGGCCAATGAGTTCATAGCTCTTGTAGTCGGTAATGGAGAAAACAATCACCACGGCGTCTGCCCAGCGAATGCACCTATTCAGCTGTTCGTTACAGCTCAAGCCGTTCTCATGGACCTGAAAGAGAGGTGAGGGCAAGGTGAATGGGCGAGCGCCAAAAAGAGCCCTGGCTTGGCTGCACGGCAAATTCAAAAGAGCCCTTGACAGTAATGCCAGGTTGCAGGCCATAAACAAGTTATATCCCCACACACTTCAGCTTTCTTGACAATATGTTGATCCAGCTGCACGGAGTTGGAATAAATAACAGTGCAGCTCACCACACTCAAGTGGAAAATTGACCTGCAGAGAACTCCATGCAGAGAGACTTTGTAGTTGCATAAAATGGGAAATTAACTGGCTAGACAGTAAGTCTGGGGAAGTAAAGATAGGAGCTGGAAGCATTTAAACCTGGATAACTGCCCAGTTCGAGAGGGGGAAAAAAAAACCCCAACACATACACACTAGTGTGTCTCTATAGAGTAACTTTCCACAATAAAAAATGATTCCAAGTATTAGAAGACTATCCTACATGTTTGATTTTTAATGCCAAAAACACAAATATAAAAACTGACCTTTATAACCATAGCAAAGAAACCTTGCCAATTCCAAGTGTGTTTGGTTTGGTCTTTCCTGCTGGGTAGAATCCTCCCTAAAAAAGATTCCTGCTCCTCAACCAAATCTCCCAAATTAAGTCAGGCTAAGACTGGCCAATAGCCTGACACTATTGAAGAGTCAAACAACATGTAAAAACCTTGACTTGACTCCCCAAATTTCTTTCCTCCTTTAGCATGAGGTACTTTGAGAACCACTGGACAATTCTACAGCCAGGTAGATTCCCCACTGACCTAGTCATGTATCTCAGAGCTTCTTACCTGAATGCCTGGAGTGTCTTGAACCTGAATAGCCAGAGTTTCACCTTCTATTTGGACTTGTCTGGTGTAGAGATTACCTATGAAGGAATAAAAAGATATGGTCATCCTTCTTGTACAACTTTTTAAATATTATGGCATTTTTTTAACTAAGAAAGAAAATATAACATGAACCAATGCACAAAAATAAGCTATAGATTATGCTAGTTAATGAGATTAAATTCAGATTTTTTTTTTAAACAACTGTAATTTTAACCCCATATCAGTGGATTTATTAAAATCAGGGCAAAGTTTGAAAGTTTTCAGAAACTGATTTGTCTCATTTTAAATGGAGCTTCCATATTTAGAGTATTTCCTTGAAGCAAATTTTCTTGTTAAGCATGTGTGATATTTCTGTTATATTTTAGTACTTTATCACTCTTTGACATAAATGTATATTTTAGCTATTAGATATAATGGTTTTGTAGGCAAATATTGTTAGTAAATACACAGCCAACATTACCAATTGAAATAAAAATGTGACATAATAGCCAACTCTACATCAAAGCAGAAAGTTTCCATGCCTTATCTTGGGATGGTTTATATAGTGCATTTCAAATAATCCCCTGTAGGTACTTCATATGGTCTAAGGAATGAAACAATTTGCTAACAGAACATAGGCTGAAAGCCCTTAAGCCTCCCCAGTGGCTAGTCTTAATCATAGGGATTGAAATAGTGTCCTTATTTATTCCGGAACTCTCCTAAAATTCTATCATCTAGTTCTAGTTCTTTTTCTTTGTTAAGAAAAGGGAACTTTAGGTTTACAACTACTCTCCTTTGGCCTTTGCTTTAAAAGGTCACCTCTGAAAGGCCGCCAGCAGAGCAGGAGAGGGGTGGGGAGAGAAGCTGGCCATCTTTTTTTTTTTTTTTTTATGACTTCTGCAGGAGTGTTTTGAAGGGAGAGGCTCTTGAGTACAAAGGGTGCTTCCAACTGGGGTCCCTATAGTTAAAACATACCAAGGGGAATACTTTCAGGCACTTGATAAAATGATGAATGGGCTTGGAATGGAATGAGGCCAGATGGCAGTTATGGGGGGAGGGCATGGGAGGGGACAAGCAAAGTTGGAGGTGGCAAGATCCTGATGCTGACTGTCACTCTAAAGGAGACACTGAAAAATGGGAACAGCAGTACTGGTGCAAGCTGATGGCATTTTCCTCAAATGTATTTCCTCACCTGCATTTCTTTCATAGTCACCAATGAATCGTTTGGTGAGGAACCGGACCACCAGAGCTGCAAGTCAGAAAAGAGAAAGGAAAGAGTTTTAAACCTGGCACTATAAATTAGATTGGTCTCCACTCCTCCCCAAGCCTGGAAAACAACTGTCCCAGAGAAAGCCAGCTAGCCACAAGTGAAATTCCTATCCCCCCAGCTCCTTGACCCTTCTTCCAGACACACACGGGGATGGGGCTAGAAGGCATCGGAGGCATGGTGAATTATGGCCCTGTCCAGCTGGAAGGGTCATTTGGCCCACCCCCCTCCTCTGAGCCCGGCTGAGCCATTTCTAAGCCTTCCAGCAGAAAAATGTCTTTCCTAACCTTAAAGACCTCCAGGAGGGTTTACGTTCATTAAGTTCCCTTTTTGTGCCAGGCACTTCCAGAGGTTCGAAAACCCCAAAGTTTTTGTGGTACCGAAAAGGTCGCCTGGCCCTTCTGGATCTCAGTGTCCATCATCTGTTGAAGGGGGGGGTTGGAAGCGATGCCGACTAAGGTCCCTCCCGAGGGGCAGCGGATTAATAAGAAGCAGTGGGCAATCCAGCTGCAGCTCCTTCCTCTCCCCCACGCCTGGTTCATCCGCAACTCCCAGTAGGGGCCGCCCACGTCTAGCCCCGGAGATAAGCGGGTTCTCGCCCGAGTGCGAACACTCACCGGTCTTGCCCACGCCGCTGGCCCCCACCACGGCGATCTTGACCAGGCGGCGGCCCGCCGCCCCCAGACAGTAATCGGCGGCAGCGGCGCTGCCCGGAGCAGGGTACTCGGCTATGGTGCACATGTTCTGAATGAGGCGCATCGCCGCTCCGGTCGGGGCTGCACCGTGCGGGACGGGAGCTGCGGGATGGAAAGAAGCTCGCGCTGCGAGGGAGCTTGCGGGAAGAATTAGCCGAGGGGCTCCGCGGTACAAAGAAAAAAACAACAAAAAGCACCGGAGTGGGCACAGCGTACAGGTCGAGCGGGCTCAGACTCCGGGCTGGGACTGCACAGGGGCTGCGCGCGCGCTGTTTTCTCCGGGGTCGGTCCCGCCCCTTGCTTCCCGAGGCCAATCCCGGGGCGCCCTGCGTGAGGCCCCGCCCCCGGCGCCGCGCTGCGCGCGCCGTGCCCATGGGGGCGCCGGGAGCCAGTGCTGGGCCCCGTGAGGAGAAGGTAAAATAGGGCAGCGGGAGCGAGGAGGCCAACGTGTGGGCCTGAGCCGACATCTCAGCCAATGGCGGGAGCGGAGGAAGGCAGCACCGGGCGCCGGCCCGGGTCCCGCTGCGCCGGCACGGGGCAGATGGTGTGGCTGAGGGGTTGGGGGCGCCTCGGGTTCCGGGAAGCCGGGCTCGGGCTGGGGGAGTGCATGGGGTATGCCTGTCGGCCTGTCTGCACCAGCCGACGCGGCCCTGGCCTCCCGAGAGCGCATCCCGGCCATCTGCCCCTGCTCCGGTGCCTAGCCCACCCGCCCATTGCCTGCAGCCCACTGACCTCTGGGCCCCATCTCCGCCTTCCCTGAGGGAACCAGTGCGGGGCAGGCGGGGGGCCTCGTAGGCTCAGGAGAGCTGGGGGTCGGGAGTACCGGTCTTGCTGCCTGGCCTCGTTCCTGTCTCATTAATTTGGGGAGTGATTGCACTGACTCGGGTGCATCCGGTGTGGCATCCCGAATCATAGATTTGGTTACAATGACGATCAGTAACAAAGACCCAATAGCTACTCCCCTAAAATGCGACTTTGGACTTTGGTGCAAAATATTGTCACCCATTTGTCTTAGACCCACATTCTCTGGCTCCTGCCTACAGGGTGGCGGATCACTCACCCTCTGACAAGCTCACGTGAACGCACGTATGGTCCGGTGCGTGTACAGCACACCCAGAGGCAAATCAAGAAGTAATTATAGAACAAGCTTTCTAGCGCCTCACACACAGTCACACCTCCTCCAAGATCTGTGAAAATGGAAAGAACCAGTTACCCCCCGGATACTGACGACACTGGGAGGCAGAAACCGGAAAGAGTCCGCACTTCGCCTGTGGTCCCAAGAAATGGCAAGGTTAGTAAAGTGACTTGAGGCCAAGGAAGAGGTGTGCTTGCACTTATAAAATCCCAAGCTCCAGCCCCTGACATTCTCCTCAGGGAAAGATGTCTTCAGTGGTAGGCTAAATTCCCCACCCAAACAGTATTGTGTAGGCTGGAAGTGACCACAAATCAATGTCACCAGACACTCAGCCTGACCACCTCCATCCCACCCCGGTCCTCCCCACCCTTCTAACCTTGTGGGGCCCCAAGTAGTCCTGAGGTTTTTATCCTGGGGATATTTGACAACACTGTAGCTGTGTGTCCAAACCCATATTAAAGGTTGAAATATCAAAGTAAAATAAAACAGCTCCCTTATCTACACATGTCAATCACCTAGTTTGGTTCCTCCTTCTACCCTCGACTTAGTTGACTAGGTATTTGACAGAATTTATAATGCTGTCCCAGACCGAGGTGAACCCTCTTGCCTATCACAGTTTAGGCGTTTGCAGGAATTCAAGGCCGAAATAGAAAGGTAATCTCAAATTGCCTTGGTAGCAAGTTTTCTGGGATGGGCAACATAATTAGCAAGACACAACTTTAGCAATAAACATCATAAAAGGTTGACTTCTAGGGAGATCACAAGAATGAAATAAATTCAGCTATTTGAGTAAGAAGGAAAAAAGCATTTCTAATATGCACCATGTCTTTCTGCGTGGTTTGAATCAAAATTGAATTTTGATGTTCTAGAAAATCAAATGTAACAAGACTATAATTACAGGTAACCATGTATTTTTTAACCCCCCTCCCCAAAAGCCTGTAATTCTATCATGTTTACATGGTAAAATAATTATGTAGTTTAAAGTTTTTGTTTAACTGCTTTTTGTACACACACACACACACACACACACACACACACACCACAAAAGTTGTCAAGGGGAATTTTGCTTTGAATCATTTTAGCTTCTGGGGCTTGATTTTTATTACCATGAGCCTGTACAAAGCCTATGATTTTTCTGTCTGAAACACAAAGGCTGAATTTGGTACTTTTATTTTAGGTCTAAGTGATCTATCTGTGCTTTGAAGAACACAGAAAAGAAACAAGAGAAAGATGGAGAAAAGAAAGGGGAGTTCTTTGAATTCCAGACATCTAACAAACAGCCCACCTCCACCCCACTCTGCCTTCAAATGATGACACTGCGAGTTACCGCTTGGAAATTCATAGAATTAATAAAAAGGAAGGGGAAGGAGAATTTATACATATTGAACCGTTGTTTTATTGCAGGCTGTGGGCTAGGGATTTAGCATACAAAAATTTCATTTTACCTTGTGACAGTCCTATGAGGTAGATATCATTACTTCCAGTTGCATTAACTATCACTGCTTAGTATCGTTGCTTTGTGGTTCACAGTTCTGTGGGTTGACTGTGCTCAGCTGGGCAGCTCTTGCTTGGGGTCTCTAATGTTGTTGCAGTCAGATGGCAGGCTCCCTCATAGCATGGCAGGTGGCTTCCCTTAGAGTGAGTATTCTAAGACAGGAAGCAGAAGCTGCCAATCTTTTAAGGCTTCAGCGTGGAAACTGGCACAGCATCACTTCTGCTGTATTCTATTGGTCAGTCCCAGAGCGCACCCAAGTTAAAGGGCAAGTGGCAGGGACATAGATCATGCCTTTAGAAAGGAACAGTGTCAAAGAATTTGTGGCCATCTATAATTTACACCATTTTATACATGAGAAAAAGTCTCAGGTTAAAAATTCCTCCAAGGTCAAATGTCCTATCAGGGACAGAGCCAAAATCCGAAAAGGATGAGTAACAAAGAAAATGGCCAGAATGTTCACAATGCAGTGGACTCCTATGATGCAGTGCTACAGAGTGGTTTGAGCTGTGTGTGTTCGCTCTCTCTCTCCCCTCTCCTTTTTTTGTTAAGCTAAAAGAGATGGGGTGGGGTGGGGGTGCTAAAATATGAGAAACTCGAGGAGTAAAGGAAGAAATATGTTGCCAAGTTTCGATTTTGCCTCAGCATCCTAGTTTCTGTCACCTCCTTTGATCTTTAGAGCTGATCTTAGATCTGAGAGCTTCCAGAGACAATCCAGTTTCTGGAATTCCTTAGTATACTAAATAGGATATAAACTCAATAAATATTTATTGAATGTCTGGCCATGGGCATACCAGGCGCTATGCTGGGTCCTGAGTCTGTACTGGCAGACAAGACAGACACAGCCTTTGCCATCACTGCAGTTAACATTTAGCATGAGAAACAGAGACATGAATGAGCAGTTTCAATGCAGTGTAAGAAAATGCTTTGATAGGAGAAATTCAGGAGCTATAGAATTACATGGTAGGACTAAAAACCTAGACTGTGGGAGTCATGGAAGAATGTGTAAAAGTTTGAGTGGTTGAAAACTTGGTGTTGTTATGTGTGTGGATTGTGTATGTGCACGCGCACGTGTATGTGTGTGTGTGCATGTGCATATATGTGTGAGTATGAAGCAAGGGCTTTGCAGGAAGAGAGGGTGGACTGAAGTGAGTTAGTTTGCAGAGGATATAGCATTTGCCCTTAGGTACTCTGTAAATATTTGTGGGTTATGAATGAAAGCAAAGGCCTCACCTTGAGAGAATGAATTCAAAGAACAGAATAGTTCCCAATGGGTGGACAGAGGGAAGAGCCCTGGTGATTTCTAAGGAGGGGCACATATATGAAGGAAATAAGAAATTGTGTAGTCCTCTCTTCTTCCATGGGATCATGCCCCTTGGAAGCCAAATGAGCTTCCCCTCTGTCCATGTCACCAAGCGTTTCTCCCAAATCAGCCCCCTCTGAGCATCCAGGCCTCCGGCAAGAACCAGAATTGTTATTTTGTTATTTTTTGAGACTTTTGTCATCCCCGCCAGTTTAGATCTAGTAAACAGACAGCTTTTCTGCTATTTTAAACAGAAAATTAGTTAATACAGGGAATTACCTGCTTTCAATGTTGTCAGAAAGGTTAGAATGGTGGTCTCTAGGCTGGGTCTACAGAATGACTCCCAGAGCTGCAGAACTAGCCCACCCAGGGAGCTGCTACCTCTCCCATTATCAAGAAGATGGGAAATCAGGAGGTCTCCGCTGCCACCATTCTACTGTCTTTCCACACCCACAAAGCTGGAAGCTGGACATGACAGAAAAGCCCGGCATCTCCACAATGGAGCCTGGCAGCAGAAAGCAACCGAGCCACAGAAAGATGGCATTGCTTCTGCCTTGCAAATCTTATCTGACTGCATCTAGCTAATGAAATTAGTTTGTAGCCATTACCCTAGCTGCAAGGGAACCTCAGAAATGCGTTTGGCTCTCCAGCCTCAGCCACACGTGAAGACACACTAGAAATGGGAAGGAAACTGAGTGTTTCCTCCACACGTCTCCAGCATCCCAAAGAACATCAAGTCCCAGAAAAGGAGAGATCGGGCCCATTAGACACTTAATATTCAATTCTATTGTAATAGAGGATATATAATGGGTTTTCTTTCCAATTAATTACTTTGAGACTACTGTTCAAGACCACTATTTTTGTTGCATTTTATATAATATGTGTCAACAGTTATCTCTGCTCTTTTGAACTGTTTTCCTATAATCTGGCACAGGGAGCATCTATTGATTTTACTTGGTCAGAATCCTTTTCCATTCTTTAGGAAGAGCACCCCAATTTTCCTTCAGAAACCTCCCCAGCCCCACTCATATTGCTCAAGTGGTGGTAGTAGGGTGATATCAATTCCTAACTTCCAGGATGAGTACCAATAAGCCACAGGTATTTATTCAGGGCTGACCCAATGAAATTCAAGGCTGACAGTGGAGAGTTTTGCCAAGAAAAGGGGTATTAACATACTGGTGTCAATCAGCTGGTAGAAAGTGAGCCTGGGACTCCCAGTAGCCATGTTGCCACCTCGTGGGGGAGTCTGCCTCAGAATGAAGGTAACCCAGAAGCGAGCAAACCTGAGAGGCAGAGAGCCAGGACCTGGTGGCATCTTTTCAGGCCTTGCATTCAGCCATGCCTGAAAATCCAGACTTACCCCTTGAAATTCTGAATACAGGAGTCAACTTAGTCATGTTTTAGATTAAGCTGGTTTGAGTTGGCTCTCTGTCACTTGTACTAAACAGGCCTTACACATCCTATTTGTGTGGAGTTGTGGTCCCTGCACCAGCCACACTAAGTCGAACCCCAGGCATCAGCAGTGTCCGTCACTCAGAGCTCTGAAGCTCAGCCATTCCTCCTTCATGGAAATCACAGCTGTCAGGATGCCCCTTCCTGTTTATTTCACCTCCGTCCCTATCAGCGTTATCCTGCAATCTACAGAAACAAACACACAGTTGAAAAAAATATTAGTACACCCAGACAATGGAATATTATTCAGCACTAAAAAGGAATGAACTATCAAGCCATGAATAGACATGGAGGAATCTTAAATGCATGTTACTAAGTGAAAGAAGCCAATCTGAAAAGGCTACAATATTGTATAACATCCTGGAAAAGACAGAATGTCACATGTATAAAACGGAGTGAATTACAGATGGCCACAAATTCTTTGACACTGTTCCTATCTAAAGGCTTCATCATCTATGCCCCTGCCACTGCCCTTTAACTTGGGTGCGCTCTGTGACTGACCAATAGAATACAGCAGAAGTGATGCTGTGCCAATTTCCATGCTGAAGCCTTGAAAGATTGGCAGCTTCTGCTTCCTGTCTTAGAATACTCACACTAAGAGTGAGTATTCAGGGCCGGCTGAGTGGCGCGATGGTTAAGAACTGGCTTGGGACGCCAGAGGGCCCCGGTTCGAATCCCACATATGAGGGCCAGTGACACTGCCCTCCACAGCTAAGATGCTGAACAACAGCTCAACCTGGAGCTGGGCTGCCATGAGTCGCTGGCAACAGCATAGACTGCAGCCCCTGTGGCAGTGGGTTGCCATGGGCTACCGTGTGTAGCCAGCAGCCAGCGTGAGCAGCCAGCGTGAGCAGCCAGCGTGAGCGGCCAGCAGCCGCTGTGAGCAGCCGCTGTGAGCAGCCGCTGTGAGCAGCCGCTGTGAGCAGCCGTCCAGAAGCCGGCGAATGATCTGCCTCACCCGGGAAGAGCACAATGATGGTGCCAACTTGGGCCAGTGAAGCAACGTCCTCCACAACTAAACTGAAGAACAAAAACAACAGCAACTTGTCTGTTCCCCTTCCCCCAATTCCCCAGCGCTGTTCCCATCCCCCCTATTCCCCAATAAAAAATCTTAAAGAAAAAAAAAGTGAGTATGCACTCTTAGAATACTCACAGGGGGGAGGGATGAACAGGTGAAACACAGGATTTTAGGGCAGTGAAACTACTCTGTATGATATTATAATGGTGGGTACATGTCATTATACATCTGTCCAAACCCACAGAATGTACAAGACCAGATTGAACCCTAACGTAAACTGGAATTTGGGTGATGTGTCATGGTAGGTCCATCAACTGAAATAAATGTACCAGTCTAGTGGGGGATGGTGATAGTGCAGGAGGCTGTGGGGGTCCACATGAGAAATCTGTACCTTCTGCTAAATTTAGCTGTGAATGTAAAACTGATCTAAAAGATAGTCTTTTTTAAAAGGGATATTATAAGGCATCTAGTCCAACTTCCTCTTACCATGTCTCTACTAAGAAATTGTCCAACTTGATCTGAAATACTTCCAGTGATGGGAACTCCCTACCATCCAGAGCAGCACACTTACACTGAGCTGATATCTTTTCTCCTACAGTCTCTTTTCAAAAGAGACTGTTGTACTTACCAACTTTCCAAACACCTGACCCATTGCTCCTTTGCCTTTCACGGTCGTTTGGAAAGTCCTGAAGGACTGGTAAGGGGAAAGGAAAGGTGGCTGCCTCTGACATGGAACTGTAAAGGAACAGTGCACACAGGAGATGTGCCTCTTGCATCTGTGTTGAGGATGGTTTGTATTAAGTGTTTTTAATATTCAGTTTTGAAAATTAAAAAGAACCGTGGCTCAGAAATAGCCACTGAATTAAAGAGGGGAAGGAATTCATTTTGAGCTGCTCATTTTTCCAAGAGACCTCTGAGTATGGAAATAAGGACAGATATAACTAAGCATGATAGAGGGTTTTCATCCAATGGCTTTATGCAATGTTTATTAGATATCTTGCAACTCTGTGCATTCCACTATAGAGAGCTATGCCTGGTACACAGTGGGTGCTCAATGATTCTTTTTTTAATTGTCAACCTTCCTTTAAGTAGAGGCTGGACTGACATAATC